CAAAAGGTCTTGAAATACTTCACAGATTTGCATAATTGCATTAATTGAAATTTCATACCATTCCATAGGGCCTATATTATATAACTTTCTCCTGGACTTGTACTGCCCCAGACATTCTGTTCTTCCAGCAACAGGACAAAAAAGAGTATTAAATATATTTGTGGAATCCTATAGACAGTGGTGAGTAACTGACAAGAAGTTTATTGAAGCCGGGCTCAGTGGCTCAGCCAGTAATCCCGCACTTTGGGAGGCCGAAGTGAGTGGATGGCCTGAGCCCGCGGGTTCGAGACCCGCCTGGACAACTTGGCGAGACCTCATCTCTACAATAAATCAAAATGAGCCGGGTGTGGTAGTGTGCACCTGTAGTTCCAGCTCCTCGGAAAGCTGAGGCGGAAGGATCGCCGGAGCTCAGCAGGTCGAGGCTGTGGTGGCCGGGAGCGGCCACTGCCCTCCAGTCTGGGCGACAGAGTGAGACTCCAACTCAGGAAAAAAAAAAAGAAGTTAACTGAAGGCAAAACATAGCTAACAGTTCATTGTCATTGAAAGCCTGCTATATGTGAGGCACCAATCAGATCAAGCCATTTCATGGATTTTTTAAAAAAATTGATATACGGCCGGGCTTGGTGGCTCAGCCTGTAATCCCGCGCCTTTGGGAGGCTGAGATGAGTGGATTGCCTGAGCCCGCAGGTTCGAGCACCGCCTGGGCAGCAAGACCTCATCTCTACAATAAATTAAAAAAAAATCAGCTGGGCGTGGTAGCACATGCCTGTAATTCCGGTTACTCGGAAGGCTGAGGAGGAAGGATCACCAGAGCCCGGCAGGTCGAGGCTGCGGTGGCCGGAAGAGGCCACTGCACTCCAGTCTGGGCGACAGAGTGAGACTCCAACTCAAAAAAAAGAAAAAGAAAAATTGATATACAACCCATGACTTCCATGACTTCACACATGCTCTACCTAGAAAGTCCAGTCTCCTGTCTGACTACAAACCCACTTCTAAGATTCAGCTCACCCATTCCTCCTGTAAGTCATCTCTGCTGCTTTTTAGCCAGTACACCCATAGTGCTACACTTCATAATTAAATTGAGTTTTTTTAGTGTTTATTTTCCCCACCAACCTTTGGAACACAAGGAATGTTTTAGTGTTCTCTATAAATTTAAGATCTAGCACAATTTCTAGTACATAAAAAGCACTTAAGAAATAAATAGCTGGGTGTGGTGGCTCCCGCCTGTCATCCCAGCACTTTGGAAGGTGGAGAGAGGATTGCCTGAGCCCAGGGGTTCAAGACCAGCCTGGGAAACTTGGCGAGACCTCATCTCTACAATAAATCAAAAAATTAGCCGGGTGTGGTAGTGCACACCTGTGCTTCCAGCCACTTGGAAGGCTGAGGCAGAAGGATTGCCTGAACCCAGAAGTTTGGGGTTGCAGTGGCTGGTAACATGCCAGTGCCAGCCTGGGTGACAGATTGAGGCTCCCACTCAAAAAAAAAAAGAGGTAGGAAGGAAAGAAGGAAAAGACATGGCTGGCCAGGCACAGTGGCTCATGCCTATAATTCTAGCACCTCGGGAGACTGAGGTGGGAAGATCACTTAAGCCCAGGAGTTCAAGACTAGCCCAGGCAACAAAGTGAGGCCTCAACTCTACAAAAAATTTTTAAAAATCGCTGGGTGTGGTGGTATGTGCCAACTACTTGGGAGGCTGAGGTAGAAGAATTGCCTCAGCCTAGGAGGTTGAGCCATGACTGTGCCACCGCACTCTGGCCTGGGGTATAGAGTGAGATGCTGACTAAAAAAAAGAAGAAAAAAAAAAGAGTATTAAATATGACTGGGTTCAGTGGCTCAGCCTGTCATCCTAGGGCTTTAGGAGGCTGAGGCGAGTGGATGATCTGAGCCCATGTGTTTGAGACTAGCCTGGGCAACTTGGCAAGACCTTGTCTCTACAATAAATCAAAAATTAGCTGGGTGTGGTAACATGCACCTGTAGTTCTGGTTACTTGGAAGATTGAGGCGGAAGGATTGCCGGAGCCCAGGTCAAGCTGGGGTGGCTGTGAGTGTGCCACTGCACTCTAGCCTGGGTGAAGGAGTGAGAGCAACTCAAAAAAAAAAAAAAGTACTAAATATATTTGTGGAATCCTATAGACAGTGGTGAGCAACTGACAAGTTCATTGAAGGCAAAACATAGATAACAGTTTATTGTCATTGAATGCCTGCTATATGTGAGGCAACAACCAGATTAAGCCATTTCATGGAGTTAAAACAAATTGATATACAACCCATATGCCATAAAATTCAATCTTTTATTTTTTTGAGTCAGGGTCTCCCTCTGTCACCCAGGCTGGAGTGCAGTGGCAGGATCACGGATCACTGCAGCCTCAACCTCCTGGGCTCAGGTCACCCTTCTGCCTCTGCCACCTGAGTAGCTAGGACTACAGGCACGAGCTACCAATGCCTGGCTGATTTTTTGTTTTTTGCAGAGATGAGGTCTCGCTATGTTTCTTTAGGCTGGTTTCAAACTCCTGGGCTCAAGCTATCTTCCCACCTTGACCTCCCAAAGTGCTGGGATTACAGATGTGAGCCACCATGCCTAGCCAGAATTCACCTTTTTTAAATGGACAATTCAGTGTTGTTGTTTTTTTTTTTTTGCCTTTTCTTTAGTATATTCACATAGTTTAGCAACCATCACTAATTCTAGAACTTTTTCACTACCCCCAAAATAACTGCACCCGTTAGCCGTCACTGCTTACCCCTCTTTTCAGCTCCCGGCAATCTCTCTCTCTCTCTCTCTGTGGATTTGCCAATTCTGGACATCTCTTATTCTATATGGGATCACACAACCTGTGGCCTTCTGTTTCTGTTTTCTCCGCAGAATGTTTGCAAGGCTCCCCCATGCTGTAGTGTGTATCAGCACTTCATTCTTTCCTGTGGCTGGATAAAATTCCACTGTATGGACAGGCCATGCTTCTCATCCATTCACCAGGGATGGACATCTTGATTGTTTCCATGTTTGGGTTATCATGAACAAAACTGCTAGGAACATTCACCTACAAGTTTTTGTGTGGATATATATTTTCTCTTATCTTGGGTATATTCTTACAGAGTAGAAATGCGGGGTCAGATGGTAACTCTGTGCTTAACCTTTTGAAGAAGTGCCAGACTGTGTTCCAAAGTTGCAGCACCGTTCTATATTTTTGCCAGTAATGTATGAGACTTCCAGTCTCTCCACACCCTTGTCAACAATTGTCACTGTCTTTTTTGATGATAGCCGTCCTCGTGAGTGTTGATGTCTCGTTGTTTTAATCTTCACTTCCTTGATGATGTTGAGTGCCTCTCTATGTGCAAATTGGCCATTTGTATATCTTCTTTGGAGAAATGTCTATGTGGATCCTTTCCCCACTTCGTAACTGTGTTGTCTTTTTATTGTTGAGTTGTAAGTGATCTTTACATATTCTAGATACTAGATTTTCTCTTCCTTATTCCCCACAATGATTCTCTTTCACAAACGAAGAGACTAGAGCCTGGAGAATTTTATTAAGAGGCATCACTGAATTTAGATCTGTGATTCTCCAAAGTCTGTGCTCTTTCCATTATTTTATGTCATTTCTTGATGACAGAGATGTTTTAACTGATGAAGTTTAGAGAGTGACCGACCACACCAGTGGGTGGCTAACATGAGGATGGATGTCGTTAGAATTGAGGCCAGGATGTTAGAAACATAATCAACTAATTGCTGAAGTCAATGGTGGTAGGCTCAGAGTTGCATATAAAATAAGTAGTTAAATGATATGGCATTTAAGAGTCGTTCTTACTCCGCAATTTTCCGATTTAATAAGGCTTTTTGTCTTGCCACGACTAAAAAAGCAGGTCATGAAAAGCCAATTTCCTGTCTTATGAAAAAAAGGAAGAACCATCCACTTTTGTAAATCTCTCCAAGGTCTGGGACTGGGGCCCTCCGAGGAATTCTCCCCCAATTTATCACTGCAAGAAACTGATCTGCTACCACAGACTTTTTCAAAACAGCTAACATCTCTCGCTGGCAGTACAATCACCACTTCCCTTAATGCTATAAGAAAACGTGAGTTGTTTTTGTCCGGGTTAAATCAGAGTGACGCTATACCAAGCTAAGACCAAATGAATTCCCAGAGGGAAGTAAGGTGTCCAGGTACAGAAACAATTATTTTGCCTGAGTGCACATTAGTTTGTCTAAAAGTAGATAAAGTTTTAGTGGCATCACTTTTGTACCATCCTCGCTACCTCCGACACCAGGTGATTTCAAAGGAGTCATTTGCAAAAACTTGCCTGCTTGTACAACACCGCAGAGGCCATGTGACAAGAAAGTAAACTGAGATAGATGAGTTATTAGCGAAGTATAGGCTGGGTGCAGTGGCTCATGCCCGTAATCCTAGCATTTGGGAAGGCTGAGGCACAGGGATTGCTTGAGCCCAGGAGTTTGAGACCAGCCTAGCTGATAAAGCGAGACCCCATGCCTATAAATATAAAAATTAAAAAACTAGCCAGGTGTGGCAGAATGCGCCTATAGTCTCAGCTACTCAGTGGCTGAGGCGGAAAGATCGCCTGAACCCAGAAGGTTGAGGCTGGGGTAAGCTGTGATCAATCATGCCACTGCCCTCCAGTCTAGGTGATAAAGTGCAATCCAGATACAAAAAAACAAAAAACAGCCAGGTGCGGTGGCTTACGCCTGTAATCCCAACACCTTGGGAGGCGAAGATAAGAAGATTGCCTGAGTCCAGGGGTTCAAGACTAGCCTGGACAACTTGGCAAGATCTCTTTCTCCAAGAAATAAAAAAATTAACTGGGTGTGGTAGCCCACGCCTCTGGTACCGGCTACTTGGAAGGCTGAGGTGGAAGGATCGCCTGAGCCTAGCATGTCCAGGCTGTGGCCACTGCACTCCAGCCTGAGTGACAGAGTGAGACTCTGACTTAAAAAAAAAAAAAAGAAAATCAAAGGTATAAACATGTTATTAACAAGAAATTACAGAAAACTCGTATTTTCAATCACATATTTTACTGAAAAGAGTTAATTTTAAAAATATACATTATTTAATATTACTAATAAAACATCAAACTTTTCATACAAGAGCCATTTCAGTTTCACTCACTCTCGTCAAAGAGGCGCCTTGATGTTTCCCGAGGAACACTTTGCTCAAGAGTAGGGTTTCCAGTGCCCTCTAGTGAAACTTCATGAGATGGTCCAAAAAGGTAATGGCGGATCCGCTCCTAACAGCGGAATCGGTGTCTCTTCGCATTTGACAGACTGTGAAATGCTGCCCCCACCCACCTCAGGAGAAAGGCGACCTCTGGGGGGCTCTTCCCCTTGATACTCGGCCAAGCTCACAGCAGAATACTTTCTCCTACGTTTTCATCATCTCTGTCTTAAGAAAACAAAAACCTGTCTATATGGGATGGGAGAAATAATGATATGACCTCCAAGTGATTGAGGCCGAGGCCCCCTCAAAAGTTAATAGGATGTCAAAAATTATGAAGCAAGCTTAGCCTGCAAGTAAAGCTTTCTCAGTGGTCTCGGATTCTTCACCCTGTCTTTATAATAATAGATACCACTACTCTGATCAACTTGGAGCTCCACTTTCTGGGAGCAGAAGACCTTTTTCTCAGGGTTCAGGAAGTGAACTCTTCCAAATTGGGGGCCATTTCCAAAAGTAGACATCAACAGAGTCTAAGTTCATTCTCCAGACCAAACACCTTGGACTTAAGGGTCTTCAGTTCTCCTTGGATCTTATGTGCCCGTCTATTGCTGTCACGGACCTCACACAGAATAGCAAGATCTTGGTTTGCCCGGGCATTCACTGTTGCCTGGAGATTTGAAAAAAAGAAGAAATGATTATGGCATACGCCAGCAAAGAGAAATCAGTCGTAAGGACAGGCTATACTGGCTCCTTTTACAGCATTTTGAGAACATAGGATAAATTTAAACCTTAGTTTGTTCAGGAACTAAAGTTTGTTTTGCCACAACTAAAAAAGCAAGTCATGAAAAGCCAATTTCCTAAGTTTTATGACAAAAGGCAGAACTATCCATTCCTGTAAATCTCTGCAAGGTCTGGAACTGGGGCCCAGAAAGAAAATGTAGAATTAAAGCAGAAAAGGCATGACACTCTTTCTTTCCCTTACAGTAGTAAAGGAGCCCTCAGAGAGAGATCAAAGAACAACAAAGAATGGGTAAATGGAAGAGACCAATATAGAAAACATCACCAGCAAATACACCAAAGAACAACAGAAAGCATCTCCTCTCGTCTATAATTCACCTTGCTTGGAGCACGGGCTAACTGGTTAAAACTCATTAGGAAGGCTCTTGAGGCAGCCTGAATTCTAAAAAGCCGGGTCTGGGAAAAATCACTTCACTAATCAATTACTCACTTTTCCCACTTTTTTTTTTGAGTTGGAGTCTCACTCTGTCGCCCAGGCTGGAGTGCAGTGGCACATTCATGGCCACTGCAGCCTCGACCTGTAGGCTCAGGCGATCCTTCCGCCTCAGCCTTCCAAGGAGCTGGAACTACAGGCGCGTGCCACCGCACCGGCTCATTTTTGATTTATTGTAGAGAAGACGTCTCACCAGTTTGCTCAGGCTGGTCTCAAACCCCTGAGCTCAGGCAATCCTCTTGCCCCGGCTTCCCAAAGTGCTGGGGTTACAGGCTTGGGCCGCCGTACCCGGCATGACGCAATGCTTTGATCTACTTCCTGAAGTGGGAGACATGGCAATCTCTGCCACGCTTAGCTAGACGGCCTGCCTTTGTCTTCCCTCTAGTGTGTACTTGCTGAACTGTCGGGGGCCTTAAAGGCTGGCAGCCAGGAGTGTCTCCCCGCAGGCAAGCCGCACACCACTGACTTTGAGGAGCCCTCAGGACCTTGCTTCCTCACTTCGACCTCGTGTCTCCCCATGTCAAGCCAGGATCAACAGCTACCTTATAGAGCATCTGTTCCAAGTCTTTCAGCTTCTGCCGGAGAACTTTAATGTCTGTCTTAAAGCCTTCAACTTCCAAGACTCGTCGGCGTTCCAAGGCCTCGTAGCGTTTTGTCATGATCTGTAAGCGCTTCCCCATCTTGGTAGTGCGGTCCTAAATATGGGGGATGGAAGGGCACTGTGAGGTGAGAGAGGCATTTCCCCAGCTTCCACCTGTGCGTCCCGCTGCATCTTAAGTGGTGGAGAATCTGGTACCTTGAAGATCTCTCTCCTCATGCCCTCTTCCTCACGAATCCGGGCAAGTTCTTCTTCCAAGGAAATGCACTGCTCTTGGTACATGTGGGACAGCTTTTTCTCTTGTACTAACTTGTCCTTTAGAGACTGCAGATCAAAGGGACAAGAAACATGAATGTGCAGTTCTACAGTGTAGGTAATTTAAGGAGCACTTAGGTAAAGAAAGAAAGAAAAAAAAAAAAAAAGAAAGGGACCGGGCACCGTGGCTCACAACTGTAATCCCAGCATTTTGGGAGGCCGGTGAGAGGACTGCCTGAGCCCAGGGTTTCAGGACCAGTGAGACTTGTCTCTACAAAAAAATTTAAAAATCAGCCTAGTGTGATGGTGCACACCTGAGGTCCCAGCTACTCGGGAGGCTGAGGCAGGAGGATCACCTGAGTGCAGGAAGTCAAGCCTGTGGTAAGCTGTGATTGTGCTACTGCATTCCAGGCTGGGCAACAGAATGAACGCTGACTCATTTCAAAAAATAAAAAGAAAGAAAGAAAAGGATTTCCAAGAGTGAAAAAACAAGATGACAGGAAAGTGACATATCTGAAAACCTCCTACTTCTCGAGTATTCTCTTAAGCCCTTTTTCTTTTATTTTTGAGTAGGAGTCTTACTCCATCACCCAGACTGGAGTGCAGTGGCATGCTCCTGGCTCGACCTGCTGGGCTCAATCCTTCCACCTCAGTCTTCCAAGTAGCTGGTACTACAGGCGCACACCACCACACCTGGCTAATTTTTTGATTTATTGTAGAGACGAGGTCTTACCAAGTTGCCCAGGCTTGTTTTGAACCCGTGAGCTCAGGCAATCCTTTTGCCTCTGCCTCCCAAAGTGCTGGGATTATAGGCGTGAGCCACCACGTCCGGTTTAAGCCCTTTTTCTAAAGTGCACATAGTAGAAATTCTTTTTTTTTTTTTTTTTTTAGATGGAGTCTCACTCTGTCGCCCAGGCTGGAGTGTAGTGGCATGATCACAGTCACTGCAGCCTCAACCTGCTGGGCTCAGGCAATCCTTCCACCTCAGCCTTCCAAGTAGCTGGAAGTATAGGCATGTACCACCACGCCCGGCTAATTTTTTGATTTATTGTAGAGACGAGGTCTCACCAAGTTGCCCAGGCTGGTCTGGAACCTCTGGACTCAGGCAGTCCTCTTACCTTGGTCTCCCAAAGTGTTGGGATTATAGGCATGAGCCACCACATGCAGCTTGGAAATTATTTAAAATAAAACAAATCTTTTTGGCTCTGGGCAGAATCAGACAATGGAGGTCAGAATCCGCTCCAAGTAAGACATGTTGAGGGTTACATTTCTGAAGCTTTTCTTTAAAAGGGGAAGAAACAGTAACAACACTTACACATGCCCCATTAAGCAGCCAAACGATCTTTCAAAGCCTCCATCAATCATGCTACTTTTTTACACGCAACCCCGCAAAGGCACCGCCACGTTCAGAGCTCAGTTCCCATCCCTCATCGTGACCTACAGACCCTCCCTGCTGGCTGCCATCTGCCCTGCCAGCCTCGCACCCCACTTCCTCCTTGCTTGTTCCTCTGCGGCCGCCATGACATGCTCCCTCATCCTTGGACGTACTCCACGGACTGTGAGTTTGCTTTTCCCTCTGCCAGAAATGCTCTTCCCCTAGGTTTGTATGGCAGGCTCAGTCCATCTTTCGGGTCTCAGCAAAAACTGGACATAAGAGAGTGTCTTGTGTGCCCCGTCTAAAGAAGGCTTACAGCAGCTTCATATAATCTTCCTCCTATAATTCTTTTATTTCCTCAATATCACTTTCTATAATCTATGATTTTCTTAGTTACTTGTTATTGTTTCTGTTTGTTCTCACCCATTCAAATGTAAACACCATAAGGGCAGACTTTGTCTTGGTTACTCACTTCTGTAGCTCCACAGCTTAGCCTATTATAGGAGTGCAATGAATGAATCAATCAACCAACCAACATAACAGTCTCATATTTTAAACCCCAAACACAATAATGATCAGCTACTCTATGAAACTGATTTCTTTTGTTTTGTTTTGGTTCTGAGTCGGAGTCTTACTCTTTTGCCCAGGCTGGAGTGCAGTGGCACACTCAAGGCCACTGCACCTCGACCTGCTGGGCTCAGGCGATCCTTCCACCTCAGCCTTCCAAGCAGCTAGAACTACAGGCGCGCGCTACCACGCCCGGCTAATTTTTGATTTATTGTAGAGATGAGGTCTCGCCAAGTTGCCCAGGCGGGTCTCGAACCCGTGGGCTCAGGCAATCCACTCACCTCAGCCTCCCAAAGGCGCGGGATTACAGGCTGAGCCACCGAGCCCGGTTTGTTTTTGTTTTTTTAATGAAAAGCCAATCTGCCAAGGCTACATACTGCCTGATTCCAGCCCCATGACATTCTGGAAAAGGCAAAACTAGGGAGACAATAAAAAGATCAGTGGTTGCCAGGGGCTGGAGGAGGGAGAGACAGACAAGCAGAACATGAAGGATGTTTAGGGCAGTGAAACTTCTCTGTGTGGCACTGTCATGATGGACACATGTCATTACACATTTGCCCATTCCCATAGAATGGGCAATACCCCAGTGAACCCTGGCGTCCACTGGGCACTCGGGGTGACAATGATGCTTCCATGTTGGTTGATTAGTTGTAACCCTTGTCCCACTCTGGTGGGGAATGTTGACAGCAGGGAGGCTGTGTTGTGGGAAGAGAAGGCACACATGGGAAATCTCTGTCCCTTTGGCTCAATTTTGTTGTAAACTGGAAACTATCCTAAAAGAAGAGTCTATTTTTAGGATAATAATAATAAATAAGGACAGCATGGTTAATACACTTGCTACCACCCAGATGAGAAAAATAGAACTGTGCCATCTCTACTCCATGTACTTATTTCTTTTTGGAGTCTCACTCTGTCGCCTGGACTGGAGTGCAGTGGCCGCTCCCGGCCACCGCAGCCTCGACCTGCTGGGCTCCGGTGATCCCTCTGCCTCAGCCTTCCGAGTAGCCGGAATTACAGGCATGCACTACCATGCCCGGCTGATTATTTGTTAATGTAGAGATGAGGTTTCCCCTGCCCAGGCGGGTCTCGAACCCGCGGGCTCAGGCAATCCACTCACCTCAGCCTCCCAAAGGCGTGGGATTACAGGCTGAGCCACCGAGCCCGGTTTGTTTTTTTTTTTTTTTAAAGAAGGAGTCTTGCTAAAAGTTCATCTTGCCCAGGCTGAACTCCTGGCCTCAAGCAATCCTCCCATCTTGGTGTCCTAAAGAGCTAGAATTATAGGCATGAGCCACTGTGCCTGGTGGATATAGGTTCTTTTAAAATTGTACTATATATATATACATTTTGTAAGATATTATTAGCAGTTCTAAAAATAAACTTAGTCAGATCACTGGCAGTGTTACATGATTTTACTGGGCAATAATACATCCACCTAGCCGGGCTTGGTGGCTCAGTCTATAATCCCAGAACTTTGGGAGGCCAAGGCAAGTGGACTGCCTGAGCCTGCGGGTTTAAGACCCGCCTGGGCAACTTGGTGAGACCTCATCTCTACAATAAATTAAAAAATTAGTCGGGCGTGGTAGCATACACCTGTAATTCCGGTTACTTGGAAGGCTGAGGCAGAAGGATCTCTAGAGCCCAGCAGGTCGAGGCTACGGTGGGTGGGAGTGTGCCACTGCACTCTAGTCTGGGCAACAGAGTGAAACTTCAACTCAAAAAAAAAAAAAACTCCACTCATGCTCACTGGTCCATAGACTGATTTTTACAGATGTTTTTCTGAGTGCTAATTTCAGATTATATGATTAGAAGAACTTCAGGAATATTACACACAGCCTACATAAGAATGGACTATTCCTAGGAATGATACAAGAACTAAATCATGGTGTTCTGAGAATTAACACAAGTTCTAAAATATCAAAAATAGCTGGGTGTGGTAGCTCACGCCTGTAATCCCAGCACTTTGGGAGGTGGAGGCGAGAGAACTGACTGAGCCCAGGGGTTTGAGACCAGCCTGGACAACTTGGTGAGACCTCGTCTCTACAATAAATTGAAAAATTAGCCAGACTTGGTGGCACATGTCTGTAATCCCTATTTGGGAGGTTGAGGCAGAAGATTACCTAAGCCTAGCCTAGCAGGTTGAGGCTGTGGTGGCTGTGAGCATGCCACTGCACTCCAGCCAGGCGACAGAGTAAGACCGCATCGCAAATAATAAATAAAATAAAATGTCAAAAATAGCTTTGCTTTTGTTTATGCTATGCTTCATGCAAAATTACCTTATATCAAAATCTTATCTTTTTTTTCAAAACGAACTTCCTCTATGAAATTTTCTCAACAACTTTAGCCCATTTTAAGTTCTCCATTCTTTGAAATTCTGTATCAATTTTATTTTTTTATTTTTATTTTTTGAATTGGAGTCTCACTCTGTCACCCAGGCTGGAGGGCAGTGGCACGCTCCTGGCCACTGTAGCCTCCACCTGCTGGGCTCAGGAAATCCTTCCGCCTCAGCCTTCCAAGTAACTGGAACTACAGGCACACGCTATCACGCCTGCCTGGCTAATTTTCTGATTTATTGTAGAGATGAGGTCTTGCCAAGTTGCCCAGGCTGGTCTCAAACCCGCAGGTTCAGGCAATCCTCTCACTTTGGCCTCCCAAAGTGCTGGGATTATAGGCATGGGCCACTGCACCCAGTCCATATCATTTTTAATATATACCCCTCTTATAACCCAACTCTTCTTTCTATACTACGTCATATTTTAACTGCCAATGTGCATTTTTTCCCCAGTCTGAGTGAAAGCATATGCCTTATTATTCTTTTTGTTTTTGTTTCTGAAGTTGGAGTCTCACTCTGTTGCTCAAGCTGGAGTGCAGTGGCATGCTCACAAGACACCACAGCCTCGATCTGCTGGGATAAGGCGATCCTTCTTCCTCAGCCTTCTAGGCAGCTGGAACTACAGACGTGTGCCACCACGCCCGGCTAATTTTTTGATTTATTGTAGAGACGAGGTCTTGCTAAGTTACCTAGACTGGTCTCGAACTCCTGCCTGCCTTATTTATCATTTATTTTTGCCCCACTGCCACCAGATGTCAGGACAATATCAACTACTAGATGTACACACGCACTAAATAGATTCCTGATGATTATTTACCGAGATTTAGAAATAGACAAGTGATGTTTCTATCTAGAAAAAAGAATATCCCTGGAAGTTAGCAACTCATCAGCTTAACATCAACATTCAGAAAAATACTACATCAAATGATCTAATTGCCTGCAAGAGTATTAAATACCATGAAGCAATCGCTTCTAGCTTTCCACTGAACAAACGTCAGATCCACTTAGTTCTTTTCTTGAGTAAAGGGTACACAGATAAGGGGGAAATGATAGCTTAGTGCCAGGCACGAAGTAGAGTAAATGTCACCAGATGCATGTACAGATCTAGTCGGGTCTATGTGTGCACGTGTAAAGAGAGAGCGACTGATTCAGTTACCACGGGGTCTTTCCCACTCTCAATGAGTTATTTTATTCTGTCTTACATTATGTTCTCAATTACAGACTGGGAAAGTATGGTCTTGTTAAAAATACAAATGGTTTGAAAGTGACACCCAAAAGGCAGTCATTAATGGCCTCGGATTTCAGGCCACTCGATACCCTTAGGATGATCTATCTAATTGAAGGAATTGATCATGTGCTCAGATACGCAGATAATCTAAACTAGGAAGGTTATCCGTAGTCTGGAAAATAGATATAAAGTTACAAATTACCGTAAAAAAAAAAAAAAAAAACTCAGTCCCCTAAAAACAAAACCTAATGAAAAGTCAAGATGCTACACTTAAGGAAAAAAGTGCCAAAAACAAAATGAAAAGAATAAGAACTGGCCAAGTACAAACACATCATACCACGTTAAGAGAAATATAACCTGGGAGGGCCAGAAGACATTTTCTGTCCTGCACTGGTCAGAGATCCTTTCATGTCCAGCTTCAATCATCACACTTTAGAATGGAGGAAGAGCCGGGCTCAGTGGCTCAGCCTGTAATCCCGCGCCTTTGGGAGGCTGAGGTGAGTGGATTCCCTGAGCCCACGGGTTTGAGACCCGCCTGGGCAGTGAGACCTCATCTCTACAATA